TTTAACTTTAACTTTAACTTTAACTTTAACTTTACTTACTTACTTACTTACTTACTTACTTACTTACTTACTTACTTACTTACTTACTTACTTACTTACTTACTTACTTACTTACTACTCTCTCTCTCTCTCTCTCTCTCTCTCTCTCTCTCTCTCTCTCTCTCTCTCTCTCTCTCTCTCTCTCTCTCTCTCTCTCTCTCTCTCTCTCTCTTCTTCTTCTTTCTCTCTTCTCTCTTTCTCTCTTTCGTCTCTTTTTCTCTGACTTTATCATTTAGTTTTACCTTTGGCGTGAACGCAAAGCAGGTTGATAATTCCTGTGCTCTGACCAAAGATCAATCGGTCTGTTCTACAGGATTACAATGGACTATTATGGAGCACACATATCATCCGACACGTTTCGCTCTGTCCTCGTGTCAAACGAATCTGTCGATCCAAGCGTCGTCGGCGTTTACGACGCCCGAAATAACAGCATCCTCGACCATCAGCGATCAGTACTCTGGTACCAGCACGACTGGTTCCAGTTGCGCCTTGACGAACTATCCGAACTCCTCCCACGGGACGTTGCAGCACGCGTCGTCGAGTGGCCCCTCGCCATCGACGCAGTGCCCCAGTAACTGCCAGAGCCCCTGCGCCAGCCCGCAGACTGCGATTAAGAGGAAACGCTCGACTAATCCGCAGGCAGACGAGAACTTTATACGTGCGCTCGACGCCGTGCGCTACGGTGGTATAGGGTTTTGCAAAGCCGCCAGGATGTTCGGCGTGAACAACCGAACGCTCTGGCTCGAGTACAAGAAGCGCGGCTATCCGAACAATCGGCCCAGCCTCAAGTCTCGCGTTAAGCAGGAGGTTAATTCCTCGCCGCCACCGGCACCTCCAGCGCAGCCCATGAACTCGCAAAGTCCGACGCCCATGGGCCCGCCTACGACTCCGCACAGCACACACAACACACATAGCACGCACACTATGCTGACCAGCCATAGTCCCCACACGATGCTGAGTGGTTATATTGATAGGCATACGGACTATACGTTACCGAGTTCCACGATGCCGATCAATCTGCATGGCGTTAATTATAACACCATGTGAACTGTATCCTATCCGGAAAGTCACTTGTATAGACGAGATTGAGAAGTATTACTTTTCTCGCCTCCTTTCTTTCCTCTCCTGCTCCTTGTGTACAAGTGAACCTATCGTGACTACCTGTGTCAGTAATGAGGTGTTAAAAGCAAGGCATTGAAGAATTGAACGTTTCAATTTTTAGATATCTTTCTGCCTGATTATACATACTTATCGATTTTACTCATATTATTATACTCATATTATTATATTTGGATTTTGAAAAATATTTTGAAACTGAAATATAATTTATATTGTATAGGAAATATAATAAACTGAAATATAATTTATATTGTATAGGATCTATCAGATATTCCTGCGTTTTAGACGATTTCAAAAATTTGGAACTTTTATTTTTATCGAAAATTGTGTTAAAAATTGTTATTGCAATAGTTACTGTAATTAATCGTGAGTTTTTTTACATTATAATTATACAACATAATTTATACGTTATATTTTAATTATATTGTAATTATGTATAATATATAATAATTATAATTGTATATTTTGAAATTTAAATCTACAAGTTTGAATTTAATTTTATATTGTAATATTTTTATAAAATTTTATAAAATTTTTTTGCTAAAAAAATTAGAAATCTTTTAGATCATCTAAAATATAAAAGAGTTATAGCTTTGATATATCCTATACATTGATATTGTTTTGAACTAAATATTTTTTTATAAAATGTATCTTTTCTCCATTTTTCTCTATTGATACGCAATTTATAAACTAAATGTCTATTATGTGATAAATGAGCAGATTTAGACAACATGATGTTAATAACTTCTGATATTTATAACAGATTATCTGTAATTTTTAACTTTTGATTATGTGTTGTCAGACATTACACGTTATAATTAGAGTGAAGATTTCAGTATCAGTAGAAACGAATTTCATTGCTTTGATAATTAGAATGTTACAGTATTGGTAGTAATGAAACCATATGATGCCATTGCATCAGTTATGAATACGAGGTTCAGTTTATAATTAATAACAAAGTTCGCGTTATATTTGATACTGTTACTGTTTACTTTTCTCTTTGATATATTTAGCAGTAATATTAATTTCATTTTTAATATTCGATTTCTTTCAACATTTCTAGGATATTTATTCGTTAAATTCTTCTATTTTTTCAAAACTTTATGTACTCATATACTTTTTTTATATTAACTGTTACTATATCCAAAATACACACATTATGATAAATTTTTTATTCACTACTACAAATTACGAATTAAATGCTAGATTTTTGTTCTGTGTTCTAGATTTTTGTACATTGTGAGATGCCATTGTTACTATTGACAAGCTATTGATGATTTTTATCATTTAATGCTATTACTTTATTAAGATTATAAGTAAAACTTATTACTGCTTACTATTTACCTAATGTGATATTGGAAGTAATATGAATTTTGCTGTTTATTATTGACTGAACATCGTAGTCAACGTATAACATTTGTAAATAGTAAATTATGAAGCATATAATTATAATAAATTGAGTTATCTGCATTTGCACACGTGTGTTAGTACAGATCATCGGAGAATCATATGAGACTAATTATGCACACACGGAGATAATTTATCAATACATGTATTACAATTAAATATATAATATATATATATATATTGTTGCTATGTTGATAAATATATTAAAAGCATTATAAATTTTTTTTTATGTTTGCTTCTATACCTGGAAGTTTATTCAATTTTATATTGTATACAAGAAATTGAGATATATTTTATTACGTATTATAGTAAAGTATTATTCTTAATATTATTATTTTTTCCAGGTATTTACGAATGGTATTTAGCTATTTGCTTTTGAAAATGTACATTGAATAATGTACGAAAAATAATTGAAAATGTGTATGTTGAACGATACAAACAAAAATACAATCATATATTCAATGTATTAAATATCCCAAACCAAATCAAACCTCGTGAAAATAGTTTTATCATTTCATAGTAAAATGTAAATTTAATGTGAGATATGGTCAGTTTTAGAGAAAGTGCAAGTATATAAATAACTGATGAATATATGTACATTATTTATCTATGATATCCATTTTTCTGTTATGTTTACTTGTAATAACTATTAATCTAATTTTCTCCAGCATGTAAAATATTATAATAGGTACTTGAAATAAAAACAAATATGATTTTTTAACATTGATTGTAAAATAAATATAGAACTTTAGGAAGATTCATGTTCCTAATTTAGCAAGTTTTTTTATTTGTTATATTTTATTACATATTTAATAACTGAATTATCGGAACAATAAAGTAATGCATGTATTGAGCACAAAAAGATGCGATTGCTTAAAATAATTTAAAAGATATTTTGCAATTGTATGTTTTATCTTTTGTTTCTATAAATTTTGAGTTACATAGCGGAGTGAGGACAAAGCTTTGTGCGAAAACCGAAAAATGCACATTTGGATGATTTAACTTAACTAGAAATTAGTTTTTAATATATAGTAAAATTAGCTGTTAATTGCACTGTTAAGAAGCATTTATACCCCTTATATAAACAATTAAAAAAAATAATTCAGAAGGAATAAAAATTATTCTAACAATTTGCAACAGAATGGGAGTACTTCTTTATAATGTTTTACAACCTTTTTTTCTTTATTGCTCACACGAGCAATTGATTTTATATTATGTGATTGTCGTCATGATTATCAATCATTTAGTTCTCTACGAAGATAATTATCTAAAGAGAAAATGATTATAGTGATTATAGCACAATAGTCATTATGATTATTTTCGTAACATTACCCTATAATATATATAACTATAAAGAATAATGGGTTGACATACAATTACCAATTTTTTGGTGTATTTTTTCGGTATTGAAGAATGTTTAATATTAGAATATAGTAATTTATCTTTACCACGAAATATCAGTCTGTTGTAAATCCAAGATTTCCTTGCATTTACCGAGCGCAAATATTAATAACGAATTGACTTTTTCATGATTAAATAAAGTCTATTTTATTATTTTGTAGTTCCTCATAGCAAGCAGACGCAAGCAGGAGCGAAGAGGACTCGACCTCGACTGCTGATGAGACAGCCGCGAGTGAAGAAGGAACCGAGTCACCTGTCGCCGGATGGCGAAACGAGTCTTTCGCCGCACATTGTCTCTACCTCCGTTCATCTCGCCACACCGACGCTAAATCTTCCCCGAACGTCGAGGAGTTTCGAGGAATCGCGTATATCGCCACCACCGCACACCATGCTGGTCAGCCAGTCGAATCTGCTGGCGGTGACGACATCGTCCAATTTGTTAACGGTGCCCCAGCCGTCCTACCTCACGAAGCAGCACTCGCATCCGCTGTTGTCTACCCAGCAACCAAGTACGTCTGGGACTTATTGGATGCACCGACAGCATTCGCATCCGGAGCTGCCGGGTAGGACCACAAGTCCTTCGATAGTGATCGAACCGGCGCCTGTTCTTAAAACAGAGGAAGAGTTCGGTGAGGAAACCTTGACTTCGGCTACCTCCGATTTGGAAATCGGTGGCGGCGGTGGCGGTACTTCTGGTGGACTGAGAGTGAAAACGACAGAATTGCGACGGACTTCCTCATCACCACAGGTAAATATCAAATGTGATATGTACATACGATTAAGATCAATTAATAAACATTTTTAATAAAAAAAATTATCGCAAAAGCATTTAGTTACAGGAAGTTCATCTCACTTATGAGCTTTGCTATTAATGTGATTTTAAATTTATAACATATATATATATATATATATATATATATATA